GACACTATTTTCCCAAAGGATTGAAGACTGCTGAATCCCTCACAAAACAGCAGCTTGAATCGATATCAGAGCTGTCATAGGAGGATTCCACTGTGAACTTTATGCTAATTTAGAATTAGTACAACACCAAATATATAAAAGGTTTTTATAATCAGGTTAATTTGCTGCAGTCCAAAAAGAAAGAAGCATTGAACTGTGTAACGGCTGAAGTCTCACTATATTCCCTCCCTGTCTCACACACACCCAAAGTAATTCAGTACTGTCCTCAGAGGAACTCGTCAACCATATCTCAAACAATTCCCACACATCGCCAAAATTATTACAAGTTTGATTAAGGAAACAGATTAGAAGGAGCTAACCCCGGTGTTCTGTCTTTTGCATAGAATAAAAATAAGTTATTGGGTATAAATACTCATGGTCCTGCTAAAGTATCTGTAAACATGGGAGCACCGAGACACTTAGCATGTTGGTGGGAGGAGGGGAGAAAGTATAAAATATTCCTCTAAGTATTTAAAATAACCTTAGGACCCTAAAGTTTATTACTGTTTGTGACTTGCATACATAATAAACGCTATATACCCTAAGGTAAGTTTGAATTGCCTTCTGTTTCCAATGCAACTCCAGGTTGGTAAGGTTGAACATTTCATTCCTTCTTAAGGAACCGAACCATCCCCTGTGCTTCCTACCCCACAGAATAGAATCAAGGAAGAAAGCACTTCCTTAGCTCTGAGTATTCCTATTTTAAGGGTAACTTAATTTTTTTTAGCTGTTTCCTTAGAAAGCTTAATGACACAACCATGGGTGCTGTCTTGTAAGCCCAAACACAGGGGTTCCTGAAAGGCAGCTGATGAAACAGCCACATTATGAAGCAATTAATTATCAAAGATATCAAATTATCAAAGCAAATATCAAAGATAATTATCAAAATACCAGCAAAAATGAATGCTGGCCCAGAGCTGGATCATAGGAGGAGAAAACTGCAAACCAAAAGGGCACAGATGAGAACTCAAAACTAGGAAAGAGGTGCAGGCAGCATCATGGCACCCTGCGTACACAAATCTCTCATAGGCTCTTAGCCATTCCCCAGCTGCCAGCAGGGAACTGAACCCAAAAGCCAGCAAGCGTGCCAACCCAGGGCTCAGACACGTAGCAAGATGCTGCTGCTGGAAGGAGGCATTTCTAAGGTTCAGTCTGTCTGGCACAGGTGAGAAACATGGTGCATCTACAGCGAGAGCTAGTGCTTCAGTGCTGGAGAGGCAGAAGAGAAACAAGATTCAGCAAAACTAACAGGCTTAAAAATACTGCTGAGTCAGCATCACTGTTACAGGCTTGTTTTGATTGTGATTTTTTTTTGTTGTTTTAAAAATATACGTTAACATAACTTAATAAGAACAGATATACTCAATTAGTATCCCCAAACATAATAAATTAAATTAAAACGTTGGTTTGCCTTTAGCCTCGACAGTCAGAATGAAGAACCAGTGAGCAGTACATCCCTTCTAGCATTTTCAGAGAACTACAACCAGTTCTCATTCATACTGACTGAGAAGTCAAAATGCATGGCAAGGGCTCATACACTGAGCAGTCATACAGAGCTTTAAAAAGCCTCAGGAAACAGAGACTAAAAATCTTTGTGGACACACTCACTTGCCTCCAAAATAAACATATCTAAGGAACTCTTTGTCATTTTATATTGAACTATATATATATATATGTGTGTGCATGTGTGTAAAATGAAGTATTTGACAGATTTTTTTTTTTTCCCCACAGTAGAGAGTTTAAATTAGGTAGATTGTCTTTAGCAATTATTCCCACTGAGAACAACTATAAATAAGGATCCCTCTAGTTCTTTTCCCAAAAGCCTCTCTAGTTTATTAGCAGAAGAGTAACAACATGGTGCACCTTTTCAAAGAGTTCTTGTAGTAGTAGTAGCGAGCATAAAATTGGAAACCACCTGTCAGTTATTTGAAATAATTATTTTCTGTTAGCATCAGAAGCCAAAATAAAGTTTTCACTCAACCCTGAAGCATATAGATAATTTTGACAAGAGGTATTACAAAATTTAGTTTATCACCTTAAAATAGAGGGAAAGAAAGAAGCAAAAAAGTGTTCCCAACTTTCGTATCTACATCTCACAGTACTTGCTGTTTTACCCAACATCTTTATGTGGATGATAAAAGTCATATCAAAACCAGACAACGACAAAATCCAACAATATAAAAACGGGGATCCTTCAAGTCTCTAGTCCTCAGATGTGGGGGAAAGACTGAAAAGTTGAATTGTAAGCAGCCAAAGTAAATAAACCCACTTGAATGACACGCTGAAATCTCAGTACTTCAGTTTAAAGTATAAAACACAACATTACATAGATACTAATACAAGTCCTGTAAATCTAGAAGTCATATAGAAAGGAAAGCACATTAGCACAGGCCATTATTTCTCACAGCTCTAAGCTTTTTGCACTTCCTGTACTAACTTACGACTTTTGTAGTCTGCATTTAGCACCGTGTCAGTACCAATAATTGTTTTACTACTATAACACTTTCCAAAGTAAGATGCACTTCAACCAGCCTTATTTAAGAGTCCTTCAGCACAACTTCTATAGTGGTAAGAACTGAAAAAACCCCACCTCTATTGTGACACCTGTGCAAGTGAAATATTAAAGGCCAAATGACTTTTACACTTTGGTCAGAATCAAAAGTGAAGAAAATTCAGTTCACAAGAGTATTGTTGAATATGTATTTAAATAATGCATTCGTGGATACACGTGTGGGAAAGCTTGGTTCTTTAGGAACAAAACACACAAACGTTTTTAAAACTGCGATCATATTCAAAAGTAAGCAATCAGAACCAAAAGTCAGCTCTTTCCCAGCCTCAGCAAACCAATTCGGTTCAAATCCACAACAGAAAGAGGAAGGTCCAGTGAGATCCCACTCAAGCATAATAAATAAGACTGACAATACCTTTGCTAGGGACAGAAACATCCAGGCAGAGATAAACAGTGGGTAGGGACAGTACCTGGCACACTGACTGAGATGAGCCACGCAGCTCTACTCCTTGGCCAACTCAGTATTCCACAGGTGCACAAACACTAAGCCCATAAGGTTTAGGCATAAAGCATTTAGGTCTCAGTGACAGAGAACTCATCACAAAATGTATTTCTTCCTCCTGCCAAATGCTACCACTCTTTTTGTGTTTACTCACATAGCAGCTTCAAAAGAAAAGCCCTCCTTTTTAATAAAGGAAAGGAAAAGTCAGCTTGTTTATGCAGAAGGTTTGGTTTGTTTTTAAGTAAGTTATCCTTTATAGCTACAACTTCAACACCAATCAGTCAGGAATATCAGTGAACCTGAAAGATTCATCACATAAAAGTTTACTTCTAATACAAAACAGCAAAAGCTAGTCTACTTACTCTCCAAAAGGCCTGTAATCCTTAAATACCCACATGCAACTACGATTCCTAGAAAAATAGTCTTACCTTTTTCTTCGAAGAAAAATAATCGGGAACACAAAACAATTGTTACAGAGGTTCCTTGTTCCATAGGGTATGAAGGATCTTCACTAGTAGTAAAATCCTTAAACAAAACCTCAAGCTAGCCTGTACAGTGCAACTGCGTGAGGCATCACAGAGCGTGAAGCACATATCAGCAGGTATATTTATAAAGCTTAACTGCAATTGCCTGTTGCACCTTCTCAACACAACACTCTTAACACGGCAGCACATGACCGGAGCTGTAAAAGCAGTAAATCAGTTTCCTGCTTCTTAACTGATTGACTAATTAAGACCATAATCAGTAAACTATTTACACATGGAGACAAGAACATCTGAATTTTCTGACTTTTCACACTCATGAGCTTTTCCATTTAAAGCAAATAGAAAATGTATGGTACTTTGAATTTTAATCAGTATTTCCAGTAACACTGTGTAACAAACACATTAAAGAATTACGTTTTTTCTCTTTTCACAGAGAGTGGGGAACACTGACATTCATAACTGGTTCAGCGAAGATTCCTTGCTAGCACCCAGAGCATCCCATTCTGCCAAAAACCCAGGACCAAACCATTGCCTAAGAGTCTTTTTTCTCTTCTTCTGGATTCACAGAAAAACCACCCACATGGGTATATGCCCCACTATGTATTCATCTGGATTCTCATATTGATCTTGCAGAGTGTCATGCAAGTACAATGTAAGTCAAATTCATCTGTTCCTTCACAGCACATGGAATTCAATAATATCCTAATATTAATTAAACAAACAGTAGCTTTCTGCACCAGTTCATAGGGCAGATTAGTCTTACCATTTGACAATTAGCATTATCACCATTACCAGAAAATCTGAACTTCTTGGAGGAGAAAGTGAGTAAATTAAAACTTTCTCTTCTTACTCCAACATGCACAGTATTTGCAACCCTTCCAATACAGTACACAATGAAACTCATGAAAGTCATTGGAAGCAATTTTCAAATGGACCACATTTTTTTTCTGGAAGGCTGAATAGCTGACTTCAAGCCATTCAAAAGACACCATGTTTGAGACTTATTTTTCCCTTTCTAGACTTACTCCACCTCCTCATTAATAACATTGTCTCACTAAGAAGTAGAAATCAGTTTCCAAATATTTAATTATAATTGGAAAAAGATTACAAAATACAAAGTTTTATCGTACTTGGGACCACAGAAATGTATGACTTCAGTTTTTCCATTTCCTTCAAATTCGAGAAAAAGTAACAAGCAAAACAAATGGCAATAAAAACTAACAGGTGTATCAACTAGTTTCACCAATTAAGCTCAAAAATTCAGAAAGGATTTCACCAAATAAATTTAAATGGCTGAACCTGGCAGATGCCATTCCCCACAGAAGTGCTGCATTCCTAGAATGAACTAATGCCCTTCAGTAATACAGAAAGTCAGTCACTTAGGCAAGGCGAGACTTATAAGGGACCAAGGATTAGCGTCTCCGAACACTGGAGTAAGCTGAAGCATTTTGGATCCTCTGTCAGTTCAGAGCTCATCATGTTTTGCAGGGTCCATACTGGGTTTGATGAAGACTCCCTCCATTGCCTTCCAATAGTTGTGATGGTTAGCAGTAGGCATGCCATGAACTTCCCGTTGGCCTCTAATGGGATGGCCATACTGTTCCCCTGTTATGGAAAGGAACACCTCAGTTCCTACGTGCTTGAAGCGCACTGCATCCTCCCGCTCCCAGTAAGTCCCACTGCATTGCACAATCCATATATCGAGGTCATCTCCTTCGCCATCATCACCAAAGGCACTTACTTCCTGTTAGAGACACAAACTTCCGGAAGTGAAAATGTAAGGAAACACCTCCAATACCCCCACAAAAATACCAAGCATGCAGCCAGCAGAGTTCAAAGGCAAGGATGGAGAGGAAAGAAAAAATGTTGCATTGCAACAGTTCGCAAACCCAGAAGCGGTAACTTTCCACTACTACAATCTGAACACAAAGTGCCAACAAACTCCAACATGTTATCTGTGCAAAAAGTGCCAACACACCACGACATACGTTACAAATGAAATGAACCAGGACTGAAGCACAGAGATCAGAACAATCCTTCTCAGAAAAAATTCCAAAGAAATAACACTAATGCTGATGCAAATTTTCCCTACCCAAAAAAGTTTGTAACTGTAGACATTTAGTTTTGTAGTATGACCATCTTCACAGTTACCATTGCAACAGTTTTTTTAGTATGCGTTTTTATCACACACAATGTCCCAACAATTTAGTTTATTAGAAAATCATATTCCTTTTTTACTTAATTACACCAAGCTTACAATTGGGTCATCAACTAGTCTGGTTTACACTCTGTGTTCAGATAGACAGCTGAATAGCTCTGAAAAAAACCCAAAAGAACTAACAACCATTAGAGCAAATGAATTCCTGCTAAAACAAAAATTAGAGATTAGATTTCATTATGCACAAAACAAAATTCCAAGCATTTCCAGAAACTGGACAGGCTAAGCTCCAACTATTTAGGACTCTAGACAGCCTTTAATCTTAAAAATCTGGTAACTAGAAGTGATGAACAACTTGAAAATAGAACTGCAACAGTTTATACCTAGCACCATACCCAAAATTTTAGGGGCATGTTAATTCAAGTTTATGTAGTCCAAAAACTGTGAAAGACAACATACTAATTCAAAAGCCAACTTCTGTCAAGAATGTGACATAAAAGTTTGTGTTCATAACAACATTACATTACAATAACGTCGTAACTCACAATCCTGTCACTCTGGGAAGTCACAGAAACTTTCCTTTCGCTTAGATACTGTGCAAACACATTGCAAAACCAGAGAAACACAATGACAGTTGCTGAACACTTTTACACTAATAACAATGTCACACAAATTGTCTAAACTGA